ACGACCTAGAGACGTGACGGTTAGGTGCTGTAAGGTGGATGTGAAGGTGGTCTAATGAGTAACAGCTCGGAATTGTTAATCGGAGAGCTGAGTTACAATTCCAGTTGGGTTTGTTATATAAACTTACGCGCAAAATGCTCTTAGGAAAAGTATGAATCCATCTGTTCTCCCCCAGTTATAGGTTAATTAGTAATATTTGTATCATTAGATAATCTTAAAAAACATATCGAAAAAACAAAATTCTTAAAATGTAAAAAATATTTTCTGGCTTTAACTTACAAAATGTAGAAAACGAACCACTCAGTAAACATTTAATTTGCTATTAAAGGTGTTTTTTTCCGTTCGTAGAAGAACGCAAACCACTTACTTGACTGTTCATTTACATATCCTCACTCATAAACGTCTGCGTATCGATTTACGATTTTTCCAATATCTGGCTTGGTTTGGTTTTTGTTTTATATCAACCTCAATGGCTTATTTAATGCCGACAAGATTTTTATTGCTGGTAATATTTTTTTTCAAAATGTATTGCTGGTAATATTTTTTTTAAAAATCTATTGCTGGTAATATTTATTTTTAAAAATATACTGCCGGTAATACTTTTTCTTTCAGAAATGTATCGCTGGTAATGCTGGTAATAATTTCAAAAATCTATTGCTGGTAATAATTTCAAAAATCTATTGCTGGTAATAATTTCAAAAATCTATTGCTGGTAATAATTTTTTCCAAAAATGTATTATTGGTATTACAACCTATTGTCATACTTTCATAGCATTTTCTTAGTATTTTGCCTTAACAGCTGCTACCATCACGGGGTATGGTGGACATGCAAACGTCAACAATTAAGAGGTGGTTCTACGCACCTTAAAACCTCCAGACTAGAAACCTTGCTGTTGGTGGTGGTTTATCGTCTTACCCTGCACGCGGATGCAGTTTATAGTTACAGAGTAAGAGGCACAGCTTATGGGGATATATGATTAAGATAATGGTTGACGATAAACTTGAACAGGTTAAGAGTATTGTGAACGGGAAACATCCTTTTGGTATTCGCCTCCACAAAGTAGCGGTTTGTTTGAAGAAGCTGCTTGTGTGGAACTTACACCTCACAAAACAAGTACGTAGAGAATAAGGGTCATTCGCTACGATGGGCGTGGCATGACAGATTTTAACCGTGAAGGTTAAAAATGGTGGAATAAAGGGGAAAATATATTATTGTTATTCTTTACATTCTTCGATCGACTGTTTCTCCTTATTTTGATATTTTGAAAACAAACACGAATAAATAGATTAAAAATAAAACGATACCGATGTAGGTAATAAAATAATGCGTGAATTGTAAAATTATTCCCAGGTGAATATGGTTCAGTCATTTTTTTATGGGAACCTCATCTCTTCTGTTTCTTCTTTAGGCTAGTCTCCTAAATAAATATGGTTCCTTTGTCTCCCTTCTGTCAGAATTAATTTGGTCTTCCACTGAACAGAAGAAAGAACAAGAATATTGTCTCCCCGCATTAGTTTTTTATTCGAGGTTTTATTTAAGAGTCGACAAGAAAGACGTAGATTCGAGTTAAAATACATTTTCAAAATAGGCTCGCGTATTAAAGGATTAAACAGACATTTGGGTTTACTCAGGGAGTATAGTTTCCACAGGGATCCCTCTAACCAACAGCAACATTCCCTGGAAGAATGAGTCCCACTTCTTTGTTTATTTCTCGTCTCGTTGAAAAAGGACACAATTGTGTCCATATAATACCGACTTTAAAAACTTTCTCTTCGTGATACAATTTAGTCAAAGGTTCTACAAATATATAATACATATAATCGATCTTATTTCTAATGCTGTTATCATTTTGTTGTCTTTTTATTCTTCAAATTGCATTAACCAGCCTATTCTTGATATATATATATATATATATATATATATATATATATATATATATATATATATATATAATCGACTCTCCTGTCGCGTTCGACGTATGAGGGTCAGGCGATAAGTCTCCAGGAAACCGACATCCCGACACCGGCACATGAGATTTGATTATAGTGGTGAAGGCCTTGTGCAGGACCACCACACATTTTGAGGGACGAATACAGAAACCTGGTGCACCGAATGCCACAAGGTTCCCAAACGACCCTCCGCAGGTTTTGAATTCAGAGTTGTCCTTCTCCTAGACCAGTTGCCATCCAAGGCTATAGAACCCAGTCTGTCCTGCTATTTTACCCATAGCTGGAGGGAGATGAAGAGGATTCATATCTTTCCCAAGGGTATTAGCACGTAAGTGAATGTAATGGATTCGATATATATATATATATATATATATATATATATATATATATATATATATATATATGTGGTACAAAAAATCCAAAATTACCTCATATAGAGGGGGGGACTAGATCTATTTCAACTGGCGCCTATAAGCTCGTCAGTCTTATTCAACCCCAGCGATTAAACTGAAATGTAGTGAAAGAAATGATTAAAATTATATAATATATATATATATATATATATATATATATATATATATATATATATATATATTATATATATATATATATCAAAACAAGGATATAATGACACTAATTTAATACACAAGTGCTTAATGAGAATGAAATAAAATAGGAATACATTAATGAGGAGAAAGGACAATAAAAAAATGTAGAAGATGCCAATTAATTTTGCAATTACAATTGTTGAAGACCGTATGTGACAAGGAAGCAAAACACCGTAAGAGAATTCCGCATGGGAGAAAGTCCGAGTGAAGAAAATAGAATAGAACTTAAAGTTGACCTTAGCTAGTTCAACAGTTAAACGATGAGACCTAACTGCCAATCGAGTACTATGCATAAATTCATGCAGTCGAAGTACCAAGGAGGAAAGCTCATTAGAACAATTACCATAAAAATATATAGCGATAAGACACAGGGAATCCATGTAACGTTGGTGGAAAGTGACTGAAGTCGAGATGCCTGCCCAGGATCGATAGCATTACAGACACTTCTTTAGATTTTGCCCAGAATCTTTAGATATGTAGCAGGAGCATCAGACGAGATATGGCACTTGTAGCCAATGCAAGGACGAATGGTAGAATTATCAACGAGCAAGATGGATTTTGTCAAGGAAAACTTTCACAGTGTACGTCAACATACGGTAAACCTAATTTCCTCGCAGTACATCTAGCAGTTTAGTTTATACGCCATTTAAAAAAAGCCAGGAAGTTAATAGAACGCTATCCCCGAAAATTTGTTAAATTAAATTTATTTCTCATTTCTTGTTAATATTTTTTACCACTCTGCTTGTTTGAGTATAAAATACCGGCTGATTTCTTATGACATATAACAGAATATATCAGGTTTATTGTTGGAAAAAAACAGACAAAAAAACAAATGAATAATTAAAATGAAAGAAAACTATATCGAACTGGATAGTAAGAATATGCGTAGAATGCAAGCTTATCCCCAGATGGATGCTGTTCTGTCCTTTCCTGTGGGAATTTCATCGTTCGCTCGTTTGTCAGATAACATTAATTCCTCATTTTCTGTTAATATTTTTCAGCGCTAATTTCGGTAGAACATTTTCGTCGATATTTTTATACAAAAAAAAAAAATTACTTAAGCTCGAAAGCTATTGAAAGTAGAGTTATGTGATACAAATGAAACGTGACATAGCAGAAAATGAAGATGATGAGGCTAAGGAGGATAGATAACACTATAATTTTCAGGGAAGCACATCCGCGAGAATCAATTCCATATGCTGGTTGCTACTGATATAAAAAAAAAAGCTGTTACATTGGAAGTTTCTTAAATCTGGAACAAAGAGAGGATTTGACTCAGTGGATAATTTGTTTTTGCTGTAAAGGTCTGAACTGGATGAACACAAGAGTAGAGGTCATGAGAACATTTGACATGGAAATAGCGATAGAGTAGTGATGGGCTTGCAATGTTGAGTGTTGGAAAGAAGCGACAAATAAGCCTTCCCTCACAGGACTGTGTAAATGTCCGAGCTGTAAAGGTCTGAACTGGCGGAACTAAAGAACGAAAGAACCTGCAGATTTGAGAATATGCCTTCCCTCACAGGACTGTGTAAATGCCCGAGCTGTAAAGGTCTGAACTGGCGGAACTAAAGAACGAAAGAACCTGCAGATTTGAGAATAAGCCTTCCCTCACAGGACTGTGTAAATATCCGAGATGTAAAGGTCTGAACTGGCGGAACTAAAGAACGAAAGAACCTGCAGATTTGAGAATAAGCCTTCCCTCATAGGACTGTGTAAATGTCCGAGCTGTAAAGGTCTGAACTGGCGGAACTAAAGAATGGAGCTAATCTGAACATTTGCCATGGAAATAGCGATAGAGTAGTGATGGGCTTGTAATGTTGAGTTTTTGGGAAAGAATCTGCAGAGTGGAGAATAAGCAACTGCTCTTCGTCACCCCATTTGCCCTCGTCACGTAAAGCAACGCCAAAAAGGAAATATTCGTAATCTGCATTCGTACAAGGTAATGTTTTTTCTTCTCGATGTTTACTTTATTTAATCACAACTTTTGGAACCCGCTACGCTTCTGCCTTCTTTCTGTCGAAATTTCTGGGGCAAGAAATTATTATTGATACTTATTAATACATCCTGAACTGTTTTTTTTTTATCACAAAGTTTTCGGCAGTGTATCTTCCAACCTCCTCCAGGTGCCAATCGCGTTCCGTTTCGAGATAGAAAATATTTTATTTCTTACGAAAATCTAAAGGCGTCTCTCCTAATTTTAAAATCTTTAACACATTTCAACTATACTTCGTGCTGATTTAAAAAAAAATATCTGTTTCTTGATAACTAAATTATATAAGCCTTAACATCTCTTTTTTCGAACGTTAAGCGAGGAAGGAAGCGGATAGAAAATATATTAATATCTAGGAAGTAAATACGAGACCAAATCTGAACAAAAATGAAGCGAGCGTGACAAAGAGAGATCTCCCACAAGGCGCATGCGCACAACATCAGAAGCAATGGTTAGAAAGAAATGAACGGAAGGAGAATATGACGTGAAAGGAAAAGCATTACAAAGAGGACAGACTTGAAGATGGCAGGAATAGAAAGAAGAGGATAAAAAATGTTGAAGGAATTGTACATAATATAATTAAAGAAGGAATGATTGATAAAGAGATAGATAGATAGATAGAGAGAGAGAGAGAGAGAGAGAGAGAGAGCGAGAACGAGTAAGAGAGAGGGAGAGGGGTGAAATTTGGAAAAAGAAGAGGGAGATAACAAATGTGAAGGAGACAGAGAAATGGGTAGAGAGGCATAGCGAAAGGAGAAGAGCGGGGAACGAGAAACGTGGGGAGAGAGGGAGAGAGAGAGAGAGAGAGAGAGAGAGAGAGAGAGAAAGTGGATGTCTGAAAGTAGGAGAGAGTTAAAGGGAGAGGCAGAAAAAGAAGCGAGAGAAAGGAGGAAGAGAAGGAGATACAAAGATAAAGGGAGAGATGGGAAGGGAAGAGGAGGGCATAAGAAGAAAGGGAGAAAGAAAGGAGAAGGAAAAAGACAACAGAGAAGATAGGGAGATAAGTGAGAGAGAGAGGAAGAGAGATAAATTGGAAGTGAGAGAAATAACATGGAGATAGAGAGGGGAAGAAGTAGGAAAGGGTGTTTTGTTTTTTACGTCTTATCAATCTTTTGTCGGTTATTTTAAACCAAAATATATAGATGTGCAAAAGTAGGTATACAGTAATGAAAAAAAAGTTCGCAAAACGTATTGTATTCTTTATAATGCCATTCGTTTATTCAGTCAGCGCATTTTGCTGCCGCTGTGGGCACCACTCCCCTCCACCTCACAATTGTGGTTTATGACGACATTCAAGGCAGAACAGTGGAATGGCATACCAGTTCCTTTTACCCCGGGGGTTGTTGAGGTTACCCAGCCCCTCATTTCAAAAGTTAAAGAGACAACACCTACAAGGCAGGAGGTGGTTTGAATTCAGAGTTATCCTTCTCCAAGACTGACGATGGTATATGGAATCCGTTCGTTGCCTAGACTACATATCTCCCAACTCTCGGCCCTACCGAATAAATCCAAAGAAATATGCAGCATTTACTATGGGGACGGCATATTTAAACTCCGAGATTTCTGTCTGGAGTTACTTCCATAGTCTTTTCCGTGTTTTTGGATATGACCACAAGGCAGAGGATGTTTTAAATCAATTTTTCTTCCTCTAGATCGACTGGCGAATATATACCGCATGTAACAGCAAAATTGTCCAAATCGTGTAAAAGCAGATTAATTAATTTTTGAGAGTTCTAAAATAATAAAAAAATGACCTTGATTTTAAAATTCTACAATACCAAACGGTTCTAATATAGATAAAGATGAATCGAACAAACACCCGGGTGAACAGACCCTCTTCAAGTCTCAAGTCTGGAAGTGATAAACTAGCGTAATTAATTTTATTTATTCTCAGACATCCCAATATATTTACTTACACGCAGTTTTGTCTTTCTTTTAGTCAAATTGAAGAAGCCAATGAGTCCATGCGTTTTTTTCTGATGAAACACGTCTTTGATAAATATTTCCAACTTTGTCTCATCTTCTTTTATTTTCTGATACTAGTATACATCCTACAAACACATATACATTTCCAGCTATAAACCATTTTGGTTTTCGTTCTTGTTAACTGATGATATATTTATTTATTCAGTCAGCGCATTTTGCTGCCGTTGTGATCACCAATCACCTCCATCTCAAAATTTTGGTTCATGACGATATTCAAAGCAAAATAGAGCAATGGCTTGCCGGTTCTTTTGGCACCGGGTATCTTCATGTTACCCCGTCCATCCTCCCAGAAGATCCTCCGCCCAATGGAAAAAATCTTTGTCCTTTGTGGCGCATCTCCTACGCCCAGGCTGGCGATTGTTTGTTGGCCGCTTGGCACAGGTGGGTTGGGGTAATGTCGGGAAACACTTTCGACAATCCCCACGCAATTAGCCGGCAGTGTAGCTGTCGCAGTGTCCATGCGTTTTTGGAGTCATGTGTGAGATTTGTATGTAGACTTTGGACCAGTACAGCTTCGCATCCCAATTCACCTGGGTAAAGCAGGGCCGACCGCTTCGCTGCAAAGTTAGTATCACTGACGTTACACTGTAATATAATTACTTAGTTGCATTTATCTTTAACAATGTATGCCATGTATTGTTGTATTTTTGTATTTTGCATTTTGTATTGCTGTTCATTTAGTATACATCCTACAAACACATATAGGTTTTCATCTATAAACTATTTTGGTTTCCGTTCTGATAACTGATGATGTATTTATTTTTTAGTCAGCATATTTTGCACCGGCGCTGTGATGACCATTCCCCTCCAGCTAACAATTGTGGTTCATGACGACATTCAAGGGAGATCAGTGCAATGGCATAAAAGTTCCTTTTACACCGGGGATTTTGAGGTTACCCCGTCCGTCCTCTCAAAACTTAAAGAGGCAAAACTGACAATGCAGCAGATGGTTTCAATTCAAATTTTTGTTTCTTCTCCTAGACTGGCGATGGTATTTGGAGCCCGTACGTTGCCCAGACTATATGCGTCACGCCCTCGACCGTACCGACAAAGGAATACGGGGCATTACATATGGGAGGTGGCTTGGCCGCTAGATTGTTGTCAGTGTCGACAGCCAAACACCTTCAATAATAACATATCAACACTAAACAAACCAGTCCCTCAAATGTTCAAACTGTTTATCCCTATCATTTACACTTCACTTTACCTGCAAAACATTTATTATTATTATTATTATTATTATTTGTGTGTTATGTTTCCTGCTTTGAACCCTGCTTAGGACCTATAGGACAATTGTTATTTAATTGATAGAACTTTTCTTAGTATATGGGATGTTCCTGGTAGGGCAATCTTGGCAACTTGTATGTTGATCTTACCTGGAACACTGTTAGTAAAACTGTCCTTTCCTTTTCTTACTTAGTCCAGTGCTCCGATTACTATTGGTACAGTCTCAGTCTTCATTGCACGTTCTGTTAATCTCGATCTTCAGGTCCTCGTATTTGGACAATTTTTCGATAATTTTCATGGAGGCGATTATTATTATTATTACTATTATTATTATTATTATTATTATTTTTTCCTGCTTTGTATCCTGCAGACCCGGATCCAAACTATGGTCCCTAGGCCCTTTTATTTATAGCAATTTTCTTAGTATATAGAATCTTCCTAGTAGGACGATATTCTGGGCAACTTGTATGTTGCCTGGGACACTTAGTAAATTTGTCCATTCCTTTTCTCACAAGGTCCCGTGCTCCGATTACTGGTACAGTCCCACTTTTCATTCCCCACATCCTGTCAACCTCGTTCTCCAGGTCCTTGTATTTGGATAATTTCTCGATAATTTTTTATGGAGGTGTTTTTCTCATATGGTACTGCTATGTCACTATGCATACACTTCCTGAATTTCTTGTCTTTTATGATAATATCAGGTCTGTTGGTGTCTATTTTCCTGTCAGTTTGAATTGGCATGTCCCTCAGGATAGTTACATCGTTATTTTGGGTAACTATGTCTGGTTGGTGCTCATACCATCTCTCAGTGGTTTCGATTTTGTACTTCTTGCACATCTTTCAGTGCATATATGTCGCTACCTTATTGTGGGCATATTTATTTTTTGCTAGTTCCGGACATCCGGAGATAATATGGTCGACAGTTTCATTATATTTTACCCATATCCTGTATTTCGGGTTAGTTCTATCCTTGATTATGTGACATTGATAATCTATGGTTGCGAGGCATTGGTCCTGAGCTGCAATAAATTAAGCCTTCTGTCACAGCTTTCAACCCGATGCTTTCAGCCACTGATGTGTTTTCTGTTGGTTCACTTCTGCTTCTTTCGTTCTTTTTATGTATTTGTCATGCAACGCCTTGTCCTCACAGTTTTTTTTTTGTTTGCAATTTCATTTGCTCAAGTTGTTTTGCCTTTTGTTTTAACCATTTGGTGTGGATTCTTCTTCTTCTTCTTCTTCTTCTTCTTCTTCTTCTTATTATTATTATTATTATTATTATTATTATTATTATTATTATTATTTACTTTGATTTCTGGCGTTTACACATTTCTTTCCGGGTTCCGCCCAGGGACCTAAGGTTAGAAATGGCATCATGACACTTTCACTAACAATATATAATATATATATATATATATATATATATATATATATATATATATATATATATATATATATATATATATATATTATTATTATTATTATTATTAATATTATTACTATTATTATTCATTAAAAAATAAAATTTGTATTAAATATATTATAAAAATTATGAGAATAAAAATATTAAAAATGATTTTAATTAATTAAATGATTTCTAACATTGAATGAATACTAGAACTACTATTACAATATTCTGTAATTCTGGTAGAATAATTACTGTATTCCTTTATTCTGGTTTATAAGAATAATGATTTTATTTTTAGAGTGAGTATTACATTAACAGTTTTTGAGAATACCGATGAGTTTTTCAGATCTTCTTCTCTACGTGTTGTGTCCTTTCAGTACCAAGGCGATCGTGGCCCTCCACATCTTCCTGTCCCTTGTAGTTCTTAATAAGGTTTGTCTGTTATTTCTCCCAAACCTTGTTCAACCATCCATTTACTCAAACCCATCAAGTATGTTACCCACTTGTTTTTCACCTGTTCCTCTTCCCCTCAATCTGTCCTGTGAGTATCAGATTTTCCAAACCCTTTTCTCATTACGTGCTCTAGAAATTTCAACTGTCTCTTCTTGATGTTAAGAAAATTTTTCCTTTTTTTTTTTTCCCATTTTTTCTATAACCTCATTGTCCCTTGGTATTCTCAACATTTCTGTTCCTTCAAGAAGATTGTCCAGCATTCGCTGCCATACAGGAGGACAGATATAAAGTAACAGTTTTCTTTGTTTCTAACGAGCTTTTCCTGTCTCTTAATACTCTGCTTAGCTTTTGGAATGCATCTTTCGCTATCCCAATGCGTCTTCGGATTTTAGTGTCACATTTTCCTTTCTCTGTTAGAACACTTCCCAGATATCTAAATTTTTGGAATTGGTTCATTTTGTAAGTGCAATCTTCAAAAATTTAAATACAACATCAATCGTTTTCCTCTGTCCCGCTTGCCCACTATCACGTGAGTAACAGATTTTCCAAGCCGTCCTTCCTCATTATGTGCCACAGAAATTTCTGCTGACTCTTGCTGATGTTAAGTATACATTTTCTTTTTGTTTCCATTTTGTCTAAAACATCGCCGCTGCTCACATGTCCAGTCCATGGTATCCTCAGCATCTTTCTGTAGAACCATGTTTTTGTTCCTTCAAGTCTCTTCTTCATGTTTGAGGAAATTGTCCAGCATTTGCTGCCATATAGAAGGACAGATATCATGTAACAGTTCAGTCAGCTTTTCTTTGTTTCCAGCGAAATTTTATGTCTCTTAATACTCTGCTTAGCTTCTGTAATGCATCTTTGACCATCCCAATACGTCTTCATATTATCATTGTCACACTTTCCGTCCTCTGTTAGAACACTTCCCAGATATTTAAATTTTTGTATTTGTTTGATTTTGGTATTCCCGATTTGTAATTT